GTGATTTTTTCCCTCGAAAACATTTCACTCCTCACCCAAGAAGCCTCTTCTCTTCTACTGATCTATTGTTCCACCTGTCTATTCTATCAAACCCAGAGAGGGCTGTTTTTGCTGCCACTGTGAACATAAGTATCTTCCGATATCCCAGGCCTAGACAGTTTGCCAAGGAATGATGTTATAGATGCTTCTTTGGACCGAAGTCCAATTTCCACAGATCCAAAAACCCCGGCCAAACCCAGAGCCTTTTGCTCTATTGAATATAGATTTAGCAATATACCACTTAGGCTTATATACCACTTTACAGCCCTCTCTAGGTGCTTTACAGAGTCAGCCTATGGCCCCCAACAACAATCTGGGTCCTCATTTTACCCACCCCGGAAGGATGGAAGGCTGAGTCAACCTTGAGCCTGGTAAGATTTGAACTGCCAAACTGCCGGAAGCTGGCAGTCAGCAGAAGTAACCTGCAGTACTGCACTCTAACCACTGCGTCGCTACAGAATATGATGCTATTGCACTTGCGCACGGCACCAACGCTCTCATTATTTGGGGGAGGAAGTTCCACGTCGGCAAACGACGGTTCTAAAAGACTCAGACATAAATTCTATCTGAGCACAAGATACAGCCACCTTGTCATCTGTAAAATGGTCTATATTGTAAGTTGCAATGCCCACCAAAATGGACATGGCCCACGCCAGCCAGTTCCATTCAAAATAACCAAAAGGGCACAACTCAGGCAAAATTTCAGAGCTGTGGGGGGGAGACAAACGTCCCTCATCCAGGCTATTCCATCCTTGATGTCAAGGACAGAATCTTTGAGACAGGAAAACACAAGACCACCATCTTTAATGTGCGTTGCATGATCACATTAGAATAGCTATCATCTTGACTGTTGTTGTGGCCTGCCAGCAGCTGACGGAGCTGGCAGCAGAGTCGGATAGTAGTGAGGAGGTTGGGGAGGAACTTAGACCAGTCTTGGAGGCTGAGGAAGGCTCGGACGAGGGCTCTGCATCGGAGGCAGAGATGGGGCCAGGGCAGGCTGGCAGTCATCAGTTGCCTTCAGACTCAGACAACAGTGAGGCGGAGGAGTTTCTGGAACCGGTTCCCACCCTGCGCGTGTGCAGGGCTATCAGAAGACAAGAACAACTGAGAAAGCAGGGTCGACTCAGGAGTAAGGCCACACCCCGGAGATGATTGGCCCCTCTCATAGGATATAAAAGAGGAGCGAACGGGACGTGAGCTTTTGCAGGAAGCAATTAGCTCGTCTGGTCGATTCAAGCTTTGAAAAATCCTGTTTGACTCTGTGTCGTGTTTGGCCTCGCCCTGCGTCTGGCAATTAGTTCTCTGGTCGCATTCCAAGTGCGATAAGGTGGGTGTTTATGAACATCCCCTGAAAGACTGTTTGTGAAGCCTTTTAGGCTGTGAATGAACGTAATTCACAGCTGTGGAAATAAAAGAGGTTTTGCCGGGACTAAGATTGTGTTTTATGCTTTCTAAGGAAGCCTAGGTCAGATTGGCAGAATCCTCTGGTCTTTAGGTGGCCCATGCTGGGAGAGGCAGCAGATTAATAGTGTACCTCTTATCTAATTCTGACATATCTGTTTCTTTTCTTCGGCAACAGTCTTGCATAATGCAACATCCTCTGAACTTGGATGTGTGAGAGGCTTCAGGGTGACATGATTGCGGTGGTTTTGAATGAGTCTTTGCACGTTGAACAATTAAGGGCTCTGCTAACGATGCAAACCAATAATTTTTTTTTTTTTTGAGTTTTCTGCATCCTGCATCCTAGTCAGTGAAAAGATCCATATTTTTTCCAGGAAGGTAGTTAAAAAGAAAATAAACAATTTATCCCCTTCAAAAGTACCTTGGGGAGACCTTGTTTTCAGACAGGAAATAGCTCAGAGGCTGGAAATTTTTGCGACTCCATCCCTTCCTTCTCAGTAAGCTTTGCCCCAGAGACTCTTTGAAAAAGCTCCACTTTCTATTTTAAGGAAGTTGGAAAAGACTTCAATACTTGAACACTCGAGCAATGGCATCTTTAAATCACTTATTTTTTTAAAAAAAAAAATGCATGTGGGAAAACAAACATAAGCAGGATATAGTTTTTTTTCAGATGTAGCCCCAAAGTTCATTACCTACATTACCCTGAGTAGATTTTACTGATTAAAAGTCGTAAAGCTTTTAAAAAGCAATTGCTTAACTGAATGACAAAAGAAATCAATAAAATAACATAACAGATGTAAATAAAAATAAATATCAGAAACAGTAGGAAAAAAATATTCTCAAAGAAGCAAAAATGATGCCCTAAAATTCCCAGGATATTAACAAACTTCAAAAGCTTTTTGTTCCACAAGGAGTTGATCCTAGTTCTTTTGTGTTGTTGCTCAACCAATAAATTACAGAGGCCACCCCTCCCCAAAAAAGGACAATTCTTAAAACCATCTTTTGCACAGGACTGTCATACTCTACTGTATGAGTCTGATCACCAGTGTGGAAAAATGATGTTGAGACTAGGAAGAATGCAGAGAAGAGCAACAAAGAGGATTAGGGGACTGGAGGCTAAAACATATGAAGAACAGTTTCAGGAATTGGGGAAGTCTAGCCTAATGAAAAGAAGGACTAGGGGTGACATGATAGCAGTGCTTCAATATCTCAGGGGCTGCCACAAAGAGAGGGTCAAGCTATTCTCCAAAGCATCAGAGGGCAGGACAAGAAGCAACAGATGGAAATTAATCAAGGAGAGAATCAACCTAGGACTAGGGAAAAATTAGAACAATTAATCAGTGGAAGAACTTGCCTCCAGAAGTTGTCAATGCTCCAACACTGGGAGTTTTCAAGAAGAGATTGGAAAACCATTTGTCTGAAGTGGTATAGGACAGGGTTTCCTGCTGAGCAGGGGGTTGGACTAGAAGACCTCCAAGGTCCCTTCCAACTCTGTTATTCTATTCTATTCTATTCTATTCTATTCTATTCTTTCTACATTTATTCTATTCTATTCTACATTTATTCTACTCTATTCTTCATCTATTCTATTCTACATTTACTCTATTCTATTCCACATTTATTCTATTCTATTCTATATTTATTCTATTCTGTTCTATTCTCATTGGTTTTTAAATCAACTTTTGTGCTCTGCTTTCAGATGTTGCATTTGAGATGATCATGTTTTTTTCAGCTATAAGTAAGGTGAACAATATATGAATGACCAGTCACTCTCTTAGGACAGCTACAGGTATGAACTGGGGGCAGAACTATAAATACTGGTCAGGCTACAGGCTACAATTTATAAGCTACTGATTTGCCATGCAAGGAAGCACCAACAAAACACTCCTGTCCAAAAGCTGCATTCTCCCACGTTTTGCATAGATACTTCTCAGGTTCTTTCATCCACAAGAACCGCAAACTTTTCCAGACATTTTCAAGCTAGAAGGAAAATGAACCCTAACCCTCCCACTCAGAAGGTTGAGAGTTTAATCTTAGGTAGCAGTAGATATTTTTCTCCTAGGGCGCAAAGAAAAAAAAAATCTGCTGCGAACTCCACATAGGCATCTGGCCAGCAAATGCTCAGCTCCATCTAGACCCTACCCTGAATTAAGGGACTAAAGGGTAAAAACAAACAAATGAACAAAAAAAGAAAAACCCTAGGGCCAGAACTACAAATATTGATCAAGGCTACAAGCTATAGTTTTATAGGCTACTGATTTGCAAAGCAAGGAAGCACCAACAAAGCACTCCTGTCCAAAAGCTGCATTCTTGCAAGTTTTGCATAGCTGCTTCCTAGGTTCTTTTGTCTGCAAACTTTTCCAGCCAGAAAAAAAATAATGGAGAAAAACAATTGGAGAAGCAGTCACATAAGACCTACAAAATAATGGGATGCTGAAATATATCTTTTCCAAACAGTACAGCTGTACAGTTTTAGTTTAGATGCTATTAGGGGGGGGAATGTCAGATGGTCCTGGATTAAAGGATGATTAAGAGCCTTCTGGATCAATTAAAGATTAATTAAAGATTTAAAAATGGCCGAGAGTCTTACAGATGCAAAGCAGAATCTGAGCTTAAAAGGAGATACAGAAAGGAGCCAGTTTCAAAGCAAGATGCATGGTTAATGCTAAAAGGTAATGTTGCGAGCTATAATTCTTCCTTTGTTGAGGGAACTTCCTGGATCTTCTTTGCAAAGTCATTTAGATGCTGGTCACAAGGATCAGGCAGCAGAGACCTCTAACTCAAGTTTGCATCTCAGGTACAGAGAGGCTAGTCCACAAAATTTGCACATAGTCCACATATTTCTGCCCTCTATCCCAACAAGTCTTTTCCATCTGCTTGGTGTGTGCACAGGGTGAAGCCCAAAAGGCTGTTGAGCCAGAAGGACAGAATTAGCTTGGTAGCATCTCCTTCCTTGGGCAGGACCATCCCACAAATAGATCACAACTCCTCCATGAAACACAGCCAAGCCCAAATGAAGCCAGCATCCAAGGTAGAATCAAAAGTGGCTTTTGATTTTGAAAAAGGCAACAGGATTAGGGTTTTTGTTTTTGTTTTTTTGTTTTTTTTGAGGGAGACGACGACATTTTGGTTCCTAGTCTGAAAGCTTCCTCAGTTGTAGGTTTTCTTCCTCCTCAAAAGGAAAAATCAGTCCAGTTGCCTTTTCAAAATAAAAACCATCTTTGGTACAAGAATAACCTCCATGACTGAGAACATTCACAGGGATCTACTATGGAGTTTTTGCTAAACCCAATTCCAAGAATCTCTTTAAAGGCCTTAGGCAAAGCCTTGCCCTGGGTCAATTCGGCTTTATTAAAAAACAAAACAAAAAACAAGCTGTGAATGCAACTCAAGAGACAGTATCGGGAAGAAAGTGAATTAAACCAAGTGCTGTTCTTAAAAGTTCCTTCCAGCCCTTCAGGACCATGGCAGGATAGAAGAGCATCCCTAAGAGTAACTGCCATGTTCTTAAAAATCTTATCAAAAGCTTTACTCAGGGGGAAAAAAATTAAGCCACGTACCTCAGTCTGACCTTCATGAGCGCTGGATTCGTGCGTCACACGGATGGCCTGAAATTTCAAAATGGAGCGTTAAGAGATTGTAAGTTTGAGCATCTCGATTCAAAGGCCATCAGCCACCCTGCCCCAATCATCTGACAGATCACCAATTTGCTAAACACACACACGCATACATACTACACCTAACAAAAATATTTCTGGCTTTAAATCTATAGGCTGCTTTATCATTTTCTCTAACCACATATGTATTTTCGTCTCTCTCTCTCTCTCTATCACAAACACACACATTTTTTAACATATATAAGTATTTAGTAAACAGTGTATTGTCTGGGTCATTTTACATATACATAATTCTAGTAACAACAATATTCTTTACTTGTATATAAGTGTTCTTCCGGTTTCTAATTTCTACCTTTATTATCTAACCATTGATGACAAATCCCAAATTAAAAAATATTCTATATCTTCTTTATCCTTTATTGTTAATAATATTAACCTATCCATTTCCGCACAATCTAATATTTGATATATGATTATATTTTCATCTGTAGGAGTTTCCTCATTTTCCCAGTATTGTGCAAATATAATTCTTGCTGCTGTCTAAACATGTAATATTCCCTTTGTCAGAATTTTCTGGCAATATATCTAACAAAAATATTTCTGGCTTTAAATCTATAGGCTGCTTTATCGTTTTCTCTAACCACCTATATATTTTCATCCAATTTTTTTTTTTTTTTTTTTGCTTTTGGACATGTCCACTACATATGATAATACGAAACACCCGTTTCTTAACAGAGAAGAATTCTGGTTTTTTTTAAAATTGGTTTTTAAGACATAGACAAACAAAACATAAAAACATCAATTCTGTTTTCTCAAAGGACTAGAAACTTTGCCAATTGTTTCCCAAAGGATTCTGTGACCGAAAAGAGCCACAACGTCCCCTGAAGCAAACACTCTTCTCCAACAAACGTGAGCCCAAGAAGGGTTCTTCCTGGGAAAAGGTCCCTTCTGCATCCCTCACTCCGGCCTCCTCAGAGAAGCCTCTTTGCAGTCAAGATAAATGGCCACTCAGCAGAGCACCTTTTGTTCTCAGACGTTGTGCAAAGGCAGGACAGGGAGTTTCTCTCTTGTGCCAGCTCAAAAATGGAGTTGAGCAACCCTGACAAGCAGGTCCTGGCAGGTTCTCAGGCCCTGCTGGCAGAATAAGCCTTGACTGGAGACCAAAACGACTGAAAGAATCGTTCTGAGAGGAGATGAACGGCAAATAAAGAATAAGAATAAGATGAAGTGAAGTAATTAAATTAAAATAATAAAATAAAGTAAAATAAAAATAATTAAATTAAAATAATAAAGTAAATAAATAAAATAAAATAATTTAATTTAATCAAGTAAAACAAAATAGTAAAGTAAAATATAATAAAATAAAATTAATAACATTAATAAAATAAAGTAAAATAATTAAAATAAAATAATAAAGTAAAATAAATTAAATTATATTAATAAAATGATAAAGTAAAACAAAATAGTAAAGTAAAACAATAAAATTAAATTAAAATTAAAGTAAAATAAAATAGTAAAGTAAAATAATGAAATAAACTAAATTAAATTAAAATAAACAAAATAATTAAAATAAAATAATAAAACAAAACTTAAAATATAAAATATAAAATAAAATCTCTCTCAGCCAGCCGCCCTAAAAAGGCGGAACATAACTTCCCTCCCAAAGCTGATGGACAGGTGGGTTTGCAAGCTGTACTGAACCAGGGACTTGGGTGAAATGACTGATGATAACCAAGGTAATAATATTCATGAATGAAGGCAAATATTATTTGGATTTTAGGCAAGCCCAATGAATGAACCATCACTGGGCTTATGAACCATTTGGTGGCTTCTTGTTGTGGACAATTCACGGAAACTGGTGTTCCTCTAAATAGGAGACATCTCAGCCTGTGCCTTTATGACAGTCTCCTTGGCATGATACAGGTCATCCTCGACTTATGACCATGACGGAGTCCAAAATTTCTGTTAAGTGAGACATTTGTGAAGTGAATTCTGCCCTGTTTTATGCGCCACAGCGGTTGAGTGAATCACTGCAATTGTTAAGTTAGTGACATGGTTGTTAAAAGGGAATCTGGCTTCTCCATTGACTTTGTCAGGTGGTCACAAAAGGGGATATCACACATGACCCCTGAGCCACTGTGACCATCATAAAATACGAGCCAGTTGGCGAGAGTCTTAATTTTGATCATGTGACCGTAAGGATAAAGCAACGGTCGTTAAGTGTGAAAAACGGTCCTAAGTCCTTTTTTTTTCAGCACCATTTGTTACTTTGAATGGTCACTAAACGAATTGTTGCAAGTTGGGGACTATCTGTATTAACACGGTATCACGAAATACAGTAAAACGTGCAGGTTAAAAAAAAACAACTTTGCTTTTTTTCTCCAAAGGTGCTTTTTCGAGAGGCAGCTGGATTTTCTGGTTTTTCTATGAAGACGTTTCGCTTCTCATCCATTCTTCAGGTGCTCCAGAGCTGAAGAAGCTTCTTGAACGAGAAGTGAAATGTCTTCAAAGAAAAAGCAGAAAGTCCAGTTGCCTCTTGAAAAAACACCTTTGGGATCACCGTGAGCTGGATGACTAAGAATCTCCATAGACTTTTGCTTTGTGTGAAGCGTCGCCAGCAAAGAATTCTACTAATTTGAAAGTTCACCCTGAAAGTACTAATATTATGGTGATGTCACTATAATTGTGGCTGGGAGGCCTGTCCCATTTAATGAAGTGAAGAGAAGGACCAGGAGAGACAGGATAGCACTGTTCCAATATTTGAGGGGCTGCCACAGAGAGGAGGAAGGG